AAACCCCCCAAAAAAACCCAAAAAAAAATTTTTTATTAAACCTTTCCCCCGGGGGGGACCCCAAAAAAAAAAAAAAATTTTTTTTTTTTTTAACACCCCCCCTTTTAAAAAAAAAAAAAAAAAAAAAAAACCCCCCCCCCCCCCCCCCCCCCCCTAACAAAAATTTTTTAAAAAAAAAAAACACACAACAACACACACAAAACACACACACACACAACACACAACACCACACCACACACACACACACACACAAACACACACACAACAACACACAAAACAACACACACACACACACACACACCACACAACACACACACAACCCCACACACACACCCACAACCACACACACCAAAACACAACAAAACACACACACACAACCCAACACAAAACACAACACATCCAACACACACAAAACAGGAGCACATAACAACACACACACACACCACACACACACACCACACACACACACAAGCAACGAACAACCCCAAAATCCACACTCAAACACACACAACACACACAACATAACACCCCCATCACAAAAATTTCCCCAAATCAACACACACACACACACAAAAACCCCAAAATTTACATAAAACAAAAAAACCCCCCCAAAAAACACACCCCCTCACCAACACACTAACACAACACCCCCCACCCAAAAATTTTTTCAAGAGTTTTTTGACCCAAAAAGCCCACACAAAAAAAAAAACACAACCCACCCAAAAAAAAACAAAAAACCCAAAACAAAAACTACACAAAAACCCCCCACCACCCCAAAAATTTCACACAAAAAATCCCCCAGACACACACACTACACCAGCACAAACACCCCACAACACATTTTAAAACAAAAACACAACACACACACACACAACACAAAACCCCCCAAAATCACACAAGAGGGACTTATCACACACACATACAAAACACCAAAAATAAACATCACAACACATACACACACACAACACACGAAAACAACAAAATTTCCCCCCCCCCCCCACACACAACACAACACAGCACTAAAAAAACACACAAACACACACACAACAAAACTACACAAAACACACACAAAAACCCCAACACACACACACAACACACACAGATTTCACACTCAACCACAACCCCCCTTTTTCACAACACAACACACAACATCACAACACACACAACACACACACACACAACCACACACACAACACAGGACACACACAACACACACACGACAACATCACACAACACACAAACACACAACACACACAACACACAAACAACACACACAACACACAAACAAACACACACAACACACACAACACAACAACACACACACACAACACACACACACCACAAACCACAACACAACACCAACAACACAAACACACACACCACACACACACACACAACACTCACAACACTCACACACACACAACACAAACACAACACACACACACACAACACACACAACACACACAAAACACAAAACACATCACAAACACACACACACAACACCAAACACACACAAAACACAACACAACAAAAAAAAAAAACAAAAAACAAAAAAAAAAAATCAAAGGGAAAAAAAAAAAAAACAAGAGAAAAAAAAAACACAAAAAAAAAAAAAAAAAAAAAAAAAAAAAAAAAAAACAAAACAGAAAAAAAAAAAAAAAAAAAACCAAAAAAAAAAAAAAAAAAAAAAAAAAAAAACAAAAAGAAAAAAAGAAAACAAAAAAAAAAAAACAAAAAAAAAAAATAAAAAAACAAAGAAAACAAAAACAAAACAAGAAACAAAAAACAAAAAAAAAAAAAAACACAAAAAAAAAAAAAAAAAAAAAAAACAAAAAAAACAAAAAAAAAAAAAAAAAAAAAAAAAAAAAAAACAAAAAAAAAAAAAAAAAAAAGAAAGAGAGAGAGGAAAAGAAGAAAAATGAGAAAAAAAGGAAACAGAACCCCAAAAAACACACAACCCCCACCACACAAAACAACACCAACCAAACACACACACAACAACCAAAACACACACAAAACCACACACCAAAAACACACACACAAAACACCACAACAACCAAAAACACCAACAACCACAAAACACCACAAAAAAAAACACAAACAAAACACACACCACCACAACACAAACCCCCCAACCCACACCCCCCCCCCCCCCACAAACCCGCAAAAGAACGCCCACCACGCCCCGACGCAAACCCGCACCAGAAAGGGAAAATTCTAACATAAAGGAATCATTGAGTTGACCTCTAAATTGGCCCCCCTAAGCATTTTTTACGGGGAACTGTTATTGGGTGCCACTTGAACCTAAGTCACTTTAAAACCGCCCCTCCTTAGAGTTAAAGTGGGGGAAAAAGTGAACTAATGTGGGGGGTGTCTTGGTTTTTGTGTTGGTGGTTTGGGTTTGTTTGTTGGGTTTTTGGTGGTGGTGGTGTGGGTTTTGTTTTGGTGGGTTTGTGTGTGTTTGTGTGTGTGGTTGTTTTTTGTGGTGAGGGGGTGGTTTTGGGGGGGGTGGGGGGTGTTTGTGGTTTGTTGTGTGGGGGTGGTTTTTTGTTGTTTTTGGGGGGGTTGTGTTGGGTGTGGTGTGGTTTGTGTTTGGGTTTTGGGTTGTGTTGTTGTTGTGTTTTTTGGGTGGTGTGTGTGGTGTGTTGTGTTGTGTGGTGTGGTGTTGTGGTGTGTGTTTTGTGTGTTTGTGTTGGGGGTTTTGTGTTGGTTTTTGTGTGTGGGGGTGTGTGTGTTGTGGTTGTGTGTTGTTGTTGTGTGTTGTGTGTGTGGTTTTTGTGTGTTTTGTGTGTGTTGTGGTGTGTTGTGTGTGGTGGTTGGGTTGAGTTGTGTGTGTGTGTGTTGTTTGTGTGTGTGGTTGTGTGTGTTGTGTGTGTGTTTTGTGTGGTTGTGTTGTTTGTGTGTTGTGTGTGGGGGTTGTGGGGTTTTGGTGTGTGTGTTGGTTTTGTGTGTTTTGTGTGGTTGTTGGTGTGTGTTTTGTGGTTGTTTTTGTGTTGTGTGTGTGTGGTTGTTGTGTGTTGTGTGTGTTGTGTGTGGTGTTTTGGGGTGTGTTTTGTGTGTGTTGGTGTGGTTGTTGTGTGTTGTGTGTGTTTGGTGTGTGTTTGTTGTGTGTTGGTGTGTGTGTGTTTTTGTGTTGTGTGGGGTGTGTGTTGTGTGTTGTGTGTGTGTGTGTTGTGTGTTGTGTGGGTGTGTTTGTGTGTGTGTTGTGTTTTTTTTGTGTGGTGTTGTGTGTTGTTTGTGTTTGTGTGTTGGGGGTGTGTTTGTGGTTGTGTGTGTGGTGTGGTTGGTTGTGTGTGTGTTTGTTTTGGTTGTGGTGTGTGGTGTGGTGTGGTTTTGTTGTGTGTTGTGTGTTGTGTGTGTTTTGTGTGTGTTGTGTGTGTGTGTTTTGTGTTTTGTGTGTGTGTTGTGTTGTGTGTGTGTGTGTGTGTTTGTGTGTGTTGTGTGTGTGTTTTGGTTGTGTGTGTGTGTGTGTTTGTGTGTGTTTGGTGTTGTGGTGTGTTTGTGTGTGTTGTGTGTGTGGTTGTGTTGTGTGTGTTGTGTGTGTTTGTGTGTGTGTTGTGTGTGTGTGTGTGTGTGTGGTGTTTTGTTGTGTGGTGGTGTTGTGTGTGTGTGGTGTGTGTGGTGTTTTGTGTGTGGTGTGTGTGAGGATGTGTGTGTGTTTTGAGTGTGTTTGTGTGTGTGTGTGTGTTTTGTGTGGTTTGTTTGTTGTGGTGTGTGTGGGGTGTGAGTGTGTGTTTTTTGGATTGTGTTGTTGGGGGTGTGAGTGGGGTGTGTTGTGTGGTGTGTGTGTGTTGTTTGGGGGGGAGGAGAGAGTGGGGGGAGGGGGGGTAGGAGAGGGGGGGGGGGGGGGGGGGGGGGGGGGGGGGGGGGGGGGGGGGGGGGGGGGGGGGGGGGGGGGGGGGGGGGGGGGGGGGGGGAAGGCTCAATCTCCTTCTTCACTTACCCTAATTTACCTTTTTCTAATAAAGACAATAAGGAATTTTCCCCCTTCCCCTCCCCCTCTCCCCCTCTCTTTTCCTCTCTCTTTCTCTCTCACCTCTGCTTCTACTTGTACTAACGAGTCTTCTTAGACTGGAATTAGGAAAAGCAAACACAGGAGTGTAAGGGGAGATAAAGAGAGAAAGAGAGAGAGAATAATGAGAAAGTGAGTGAGCGAGAGGCCTTTACAAAAGTTGAAAAAAGCTATCTCAAATAAAGGGCATTGTGGCCGCTAACAATGGTGAGAGAGAGAGAGAGAGAGAGAGAGAGAGAGAGAGAGAGAGAGAGAGAGAGAGAGAGAGAGAGAGAAAGAGAGAGAAAAATTAAAGTCTACGGGAACAACAGATAACACTTCGTCAATTTTCGACACTATGTATACACACACACATGTATACATGTGTATACACATGTATACACACATGTATACATGTGTATTCATGTGTATACACATGTATACATGTGTATACACACATGTATACATGTGTATACATGTGGTATACACACATGTTATACATGTGTATACATGTGTATACACACATGTATACATGTGTATGCACACATGTATACATGTGTATACACACATGTATACATATGTATACACACATGTATACATGTGTATACACACATATATACATGTGTATACACACATATATACATGAGTATACACACATATATACATGTGTATACACACGCACACATGTATACATCTGTACACACACACACACACAGAAACATCCTCGACCTCTCGGCCCATACATAAATTAATGTGTTTACAAATATACATACATTCATACATACATAACAAACATACATACATTTAAACACACATATAGAGTCACAAACAAATATACATACATTCATACATACATTCAAACATACATACACACATACTAATACATACTTATGTATATATGGGTAAAATGAGGCTGAAAATGGGTCTACAGACGTAAATTATTATTAATATTATTATTATTATTATTAAAAAAGTATTATTGGTATAATTATGATTATAATTATAATTATTATTGTTGCAGTGATGAATGGTCACTTGCAGTTGGCACTGCTGGCAGTGGCACTCTCATCAGTGGTGACGTCACAGCCATTCAGCCAATCAGAAGCCTCCAAACACAGCGACTTCCAATGGAATATCAGAAAAATTGGCAGCCGGAAAGTAGCTACGATATCTATAAGGTAACCCAATAATAATAATAATAATAATAATAATAATGAGTGTGAAGGCTCGTTCCTCCGTCTGGCGATTGCAAGATGTTGACTGACATCTTTTTGGGGCGTTGCAGGAAGGATGAGGAGAGAGACAGACGCAGCATCCCGCTGACGGATGACGAAGCTTACAGCAGGACTCTCCCTCGGCATCACCAGGGCCCGTCATCTCAGCACAGACACAGGCATCACCACGGTCAGCAGGTCAATGATGCTGTTCTGCTGGCTGACGAAGGTATATCTATATGCCTATATATCCCAGGGGTGTGTATGCATATACACCGAGGGTTTAACCTCTGTTTTGGGGGTATTAAAGTATTCTTGACTGGTGTTGTGTAGGTGAGACGCGGGGTTAATGATCCTCGTGTAGTAGACATGATTTTAAACCCAATTAACCAACCAATTAGCCTTAATGATCCTAGTGTAGTGGATAGATCTTAGTCGTCGTGTAGTGAATAGACTTTAAACCTTATTAATTAGCTTATCCAGTTCCTTATTTGGTTGGTTAATGGGGTTTCAAGTCTATCTACTACACGAGGGTCATTAAGGCTGCACGTCACCTGTGCACCACCAGTCAAGAATACCTTAATACCTAAAATAAGAGAGGGATTACGTAAACTCACAGTGTATATACGTACACCTCTCAATGTATATACACTGTCTATCCGAGGGATTACCGAGTCATTATTTCCTAGTGTGACATTTTATACTATCTACTATTTATCCTATTGTACTATCATATAATATTGCAGAAAGTAGATAAGCGGTTCAGAGAACCAAGTTGATGATTGGAACACATGGGCGAGATACCCAATCGTTGCACAAGTCTCTCAGTCATCAATATTTGAGATATCCCTGAGATATATATGATAATAGAGGGAGGGTATAATCTATCTCTTAGAAATAATATATCTGTAACTGCTTCTTGGAAGATGCTGGAGGCAGGCGGGAAGACGGGAGGAGACATCTGGCAAGAGATGCTGAGAGAAGCAACAGAGGCATGTCTCCTCTTCACGTGGCAGAGACGGGGCTGGAGAGATTTGGTGCTGGTGACGTCAGTCTTCAAGAAGACGACGAGGGTCTTGAAGAGGACGACGAGGGTCTTCAAGAAGATGACGTGGGTCACTTCCCACGTCTTCAAGAGGTACTGGATGATGCTGGAATTCATCTCAGTCCCTCCCTCTTCCGTAACCTTACAGAAGCATCGAGACCCAAGAGGAACCGGACCCGGGAGCCCAAGAAAAAAGGCAGCAAGAAAAACAAGAGGAAATCCCCCAAAAACAAGAAGAAGAAGACGAAAAATAAGAAGAACGGAAAGGGAGCCAAGAACTGTAGAAAACTGAAGAGAAATGCCAAGAAAGCTTGCCGGGAGGCATTCCAAAGGTGCCGTGATCTTAGAGGTAAGGCAAAGAAGGTTTGCCGAGCCCAGGCCGCCCAGACATATCCAGATAGGCCTAGCCCCAACGAAACAGTACCAGAGGATGACATGTTCAGCTTTATCAAAAATATTACTGAAAGTAAGTTAACTGAACATAGTTCTCACCACATGACCCATGAAATAGATTCTAACTCCTTATATCTCAAACCAACACTATTGTGCTAATCAAACTAACAATAATAGCAGCAGTAATAGTATTAAGGAGATATTTAAAATAAAGTACTATGTCAGAACGTAGGTACTAGCACTACTGCTAGCTTTACTAACACTGTTAGTGCTAGTTTATTGTGCTTTACCTGCTAGGGGAAATCAGGTGACGTGGGCCTTAACCTAATTACCCTGTCACTTTAATACAGTGACAACAGTCTTACTGAGACCACGTTCCCTCTTCTGTGTAGACCTTTATAAACTTTTGAAAATTAGACACATGTGCAGCATTTGGGTACCTTTAATGTAGACGTTTTGCCATCCAGTGGTTCTGTCAATACAGATTCAAGGACGTAATCTGAAGACAGAACTATATCCAGAAGATGAGGTAAACAGTCCCTCAGCCTTGGAGTTGGTGTGAGGAGCACCGTAGTGTTGGAGATTCTCAGATTCACACCAACTCCAAGGCTGAGGGACTGTTTACCTCATCTTCTGTATATAGTTCTGTCTTCAAATTACGTCCTTGAATCTGTATTGGCAAAACCACTGGATGGCAAAACGTCTACATTAAAGGTACCTAGATGCTGCACATGTGTCCAGTTGTTATCTTGTCGGTAACGTATACCATTTATATAGAGCTTTATAAAGCTGCACACAGAGCGAAACGTCCTGTGAAATGCTTGTTCTGCTTTTAATGCTTAAAGAGCTGTATGCTTTACTAAGTAACCTAAGCTTTATTTAACAAAGTAAAGCCAACAACAGCTCTCAGTTCTCTGAGAACAGAGAGCTCTGACTGTGTTTTCAGCCAGAACTCCCAGTTCTCTCAGAACTGAGAGCTCTGACTGTGTTTTCAGCCAGAACTCTCAGTTCTCTGAGAACTGAGAGTTCTGTGTTCTCAGCCAGAACTCTCAGTTCTCTGAGAACTGAGAGCCCTGTGTTCTCAGCGAGAACACAGACCATAGCTGACACCAATAAGAAGCAGAGCAATAAACTGCATTAACCAATCGACCACACTGACCCCTCGTGTAGTAGACTTTAAATCCCATTAACCAACCATTACCACCACTACCACTACTACTACTACTACTACACTACTACTATTGCTACTATTTCAGTGAGCGGAAGTGACGCATGTCAGTACCACCACTTAGAACAATGCTGTCGGAGAGTAGGTCTACCTTCCACGGCACCAGAGGCTCTCCAGCCAGTTGTCAAGTGTCGCTTCAGAGAGGTCAGTGACCTGTACTTAAGGACGTCAAGGGGAATAATTCACTGTGACTTACAAGGGTTATCCTGGGGGGGAGGGGGGGTAATCTAAACATGTACTGTTGCGCAATAACATCACAGTAAACAGGTGATATCACAATATACAGAACAGCTACTGTGAAAAATAATGAAATTCCAAGGGATTTCGTGATTTCTCACATTATCAAGGAACATAATTCATATACTGCTATGTATAATATAATTTATATTGCTGTTTATATGTGTACCAGTAAAAAAAACAAACCATACCAAGAGCGGGGATAGAACCCGCGATCAGAGAGTCTCAAAACTCCAGACCGTCTGGTCGTGGGTTCTATCCCCGCCCGTGGTATGGTTTGTTTGCAATCATGTCATTACGATTTCGTGAGTCGTGTACCAGTACCTAGATAAACTTACTATGTTTATTGAGGTACAGGTACACATAAGTACAATTATCAGACATACTAACATATATAAATTACCTAGAATAACGTCCCAAAAGTCAGACATATTGGGGATACAGACTGCTGCCTCGTTGCTAAACTCACATTCATCATTTAGCTTCTGGAAAATGGGAGGCATTGATGTTCGATGCTGGGAAGCAGAGGATAAATCCAATTCCTTGGATCGAGACCCCCATCACCGGCATCAAGGCCCTCTTTCTCCCCTTGAGAGGAACTGGAAAGAAATGAGAAGGGAAAGAGACAGGAATATTATATACAAGTTACTCATAAAATCTATAATATTTTCATTTTCTATGAAACAGATATAAACTATTAGAGAAAACGTAGATGCTTCAGGATAAACTCTGTTAAACTCACAACAAACTCAGAGCCAACAAGGACACACTAATCTCATCTCATCTCTCAACAGGAGTTCCTCAAGTGCATGGAAGAGCAGAGAATGGGCACATGTGACCCCAACTTCCAGACCCGAGGTGACCTCGCTGCCCTCAGGAGCAAGATAAGTGAGGTCATCTGGACCACCACTAGCTGCCTCATATCAGAGGTCGAGGAGGGATAAGTCACCTCCTCAAGGTCATCACAAACGACATATGATTAGCTCAAAGGTCAGTGAAAGGTCACTTGGGCTCTAATAGGTCATTTAAGAGACCTTTAATAACACAGCCATCAATACCACTGCTACTAATACTAATATTAATAAAATATTGCCTTGTATAACCTACCCTAACTTATTTTCAGCATGCAGTAAACGTACAGATATCGACGTTGAGCGACGTGTAAGGAAACTAACGTCTTGAAATGAGGCAGCTAAAGCCGCCTGGTCTCAGCCAAGCCTACGACAGCAGAATGAGCCTAAAGCCCAGTCACAGGTGTGAGCTAGGCGCAGGGACCATCCTCCCACCACACAGTTCAAGGCGGAAGCCTTAACACAGCCTCTGAACATTGAATTTATATATGTGTATATACGAAATGCATTTTGTAATTCCAATTTGGGTGGTCAATATTTTCTCGTATACTGTGTATGTTGAACTTTGAAAGATGATTGGCTATGGATTCTCCCGGTGTATATATACTACCACGAGTGTATATCTCATTGTATACTCACCGTGAATTGTGTGTATCTCTGTATATACATTGATAGGTCTATATCTTTCACTGTCTATACCCCTTTGAGATTTATATCTTCAAGTGTATATACACCCAGATGTGTATATTTCTCAGTGTATCCACACCGAAAACTAGACAGTATGTTTCTCAGTGTATATACACTGGTAGTTAACATTAATTACTGTTTTAGGTATTAAAGTATTCTTGACTGGTGGTGTACAGGTGACATGTAGCCTTAATGACCCTCGTGTAGTAGATTTGAAACCCAGTTAAATCACCAACCATTCCACTTGGAGGGTCAAGATGACAATGGGTTTTAATTAGGGCAACGTTTCGCTCCATAAAAAGCTTTATCGAGACTCGGTAAAGCTTATACTGTAACCTCTGTATTTCCTCCATAAGAAGTCCAATTTTCACTAAAAAATAACATTGTCTTTCAGATATTACATTGCAATTTACTGGTTTTATAATATATATGTAAATTACTTGTCAATATGCATTTTATGTGTGTGTGTGTGTGTGTGTGTGTGTGTGTGTGTGTGTGTGTGTGTGTGTGTGTACTCACCTATTTGTGGTTGCAGGGGTCGATTCATAGTTCCTGGCCCCACCTCCTCACTGATCGCTACTAGATCCTCTCTCCCTGCTCCATGAGCTTTATCATACCTCGTCTTAAAACTATGTATGGTTCCTGCCTCCACTTTGCGTATGTGAGTGTGTTTGTGTGTGTGTGTGTGGTGTGTGTGTGTGTGTGTGTGTGTTTGTGTCGTGCCTAATAAGCCAAACTGGCAAGTTAGGCCTAAAAAAAAAAGAATAAAGACAAAATTAATTATTTTGCTTATGTCACGATGCGTTTTCTGCCGAATAAACACAGTGTGGTTTTTTCGGAACATAAAGAAAAAATTGTATATTATTAATTTTAAGTAATATTAGATAAATGTAAACTGACCTGAGATATATTCAGCAGAATATGACTAAAAAAATTACGTTAAGCCAGGTATCTAAGTTACGTATTACGTATTTTTTCATTAAGTCTGATTTTTAAAGGAGTTTGGCTGATATATATATATATATATTATATATATATATATATATATATATATATATATATATATATATATATATATATATATATGTAATTATTATTATAGAAATAAGCGCAAATCCCTTCGAGATAATTCACTGCCTCGGGAATTTAAGTTAATAAGGATTAGCCCAAGGGGAAGATAGCTCTATTTCCTTGAATCAAGAGCCCTTTACTTGCATCAAGGCGCTTCTCCCTTGATGGAACTTATTTATACAACTGCAAATAAAACCTTTTTCCTATAGTTTGTGACAAATTGAAATGTATTTCACTGGCTGAGAAAAGTTCCAGAATTCTTGGGACTTTTGGGTTTAGCGCTGAGCGTGTGTGGAGGAACTGGTAAACCCGCGGGAGTATTCCTGAGGTAAACCAGTGAGTCTGAGGTTTATTGAGAGAGATTCTGTGCACTGAAGCTTATGTAGTGGTGATATGGTCGCGCTGGACGTGATTCTAATTAATATTATACATACATACATACATATATATATATATATATATATATATAATATATATATATAATATATATATATATATATATATATATATATATATATATATATATATATATATATATATAATATATAATGAGCGAAAAGCGACATTCCACGCGATTTCGTGATTTCTCACATTATCATATAGTTCCTTGATAATGTGAGAAGTCACGAAAGCTCTTAGAATGTCACTTTTCTTTGACAGTGGTTGTTTTGCATATTCTGACATCACCTGTTTACTGATGTATGATACTGTGAGTTTTTTGCACTGACTGTCTGTATATTTAGTGTAAGATCTGCACTTGTGGTCCACCTGGACTGTGTGTTTGCAACATTGCTTCTCTCATCACAACAAATATTTTGCAATGTTCGTTTGTATATTTTTCTCACTTTGTAAATACAGTTTTAAAATGGAATGTTTTATTGTACCCTTCATTCAACATGTTTGTGGAAATTTATTTGGTCCCTAAAGTTCCACAGGACAGATCCGGCATGGTCGTAATGGAATGGCTGAGCTGGGTGGCCCTTATACCCCACCCAAAACAAAGCTTATTTAATTTATTTAATTTATAGATTTACCCTTCAGGGAAGGAGTAGGTAGTTTTACTGGTAGTACACTAATATTAGGATCATTGAGGCAACTGTAGATAATAATAATGTAGACCTAAGACCTTAACATAGGTAGTAATAGGCCGATAATGTAGGCAAACACTAGGATAAGTTAGCTAAGGAGAACTGGCAGCCCTAGTTTGAACGAAGAGACAAGGGCCTGGAAGAGAGACCAGCTCGTTCTTCTTAAGACAGACACCAACTGGACAAGACGTGCCGTGATCAGCAGACGGCGCCCCCCCCACGTGTCTTCACATTTGAGACCTGGGGAAATCTGGTAGAGGCACCTCGATGTACCGTAGATGACCTCCGTCAGGCCCATACAGTAAGACAAGACCTCCACTTTATCTCGTAGATTTCTGGCCAGTGTCTGGGGAGAATTGTGAGTGAGTTTGATCTGTGGGCCATGTGTGCAACAGGCAGTGCATGCCCAGTAAGTACCAGTGTCTCAAGGCAGTCTGGAAGCTAGTGTCCGTGTCTGCATAGTTATACTAGGGGATACATACCCTCTTGGATATAGGAATTTCTGAGGTGCAGGCAGGACACTAATAACGACTGAATATTGCAGGAATTAAGGCTCCCAGTTGCACATGGTTTCTGAGGGAAAGTCCAAAGGGGCTAAGGCTAAGCTTAGGGAAGTTGAAGATCAGGATATATGCTGCAACACCAAGTAAGTTAGTCCTTTATGCGTGCATGCAGGCGAGTTTCTTGCAACATCAATCATTTGTGAAAATCGGTCCTATAAGCCACTTGTGAGGCTGAGGTACCCACCTCAGAGCTCGGTGTCAACAGAGTTTGCCAGGGTAGACGACTCACTTGGAGGCAGTCCACACAAATTTTCACAATGTTTATTATGGAGTTGCAGGAGTATTAGTGGTTTTTGGTAGAGTGGAATGATATGAATGCTGCCTATTAAAAGTGGAGTTGCAAGATGGAAGGAGATGGGGAAGTTGATAAGTTGGCTGTAGTGTAGATGCACCTCTAGTAAGACAGTGATGGACTGAATGATGATGGACATGTTTCTTCTTTTTCGGGTCATCCTGCCTTGGTGGGGAACGGCCGATGTGTTATAAGAAAGTCAATATAAATCATTCATTTTTATAATTATGTTGTGGTTGGAAGAGTTATTTGAAGAGTGGTATTAGTGCGCTTGTGGAAGACAGCAACTGAACGAGTGATGGAGAATGTGTTTTATTTTTCTGGTCAACCTGCGTCTGTGGAAGTCGACCAGTGTATTTAAAAAATATAAATTTAGAAGGAAATACAGTCTTTTTGACTTGTCTACCACGAGACCTGGTCTCAGACCAAGCCCCGGGGGCATTGACCCCTGGAATTCTCTCCAGGTATACTCCAGGTATGTGTAGAATATCCACCAGGATAACTCAGAGTCAGACAACGTGGCTTATTTCCATTAGGGTCTTCGATCTTTGTGGCCTCAATGTTACATTGATAACTATTATATAATCTTATCAGAAATCTTATCAAAAAAACGGATATCCTGTAGCTCGATCGTTACCTGGAGTTTACCTGGAGAGAGTTCCGGGGGTCAACGCCCCCGCGGCCCGGTCTGTGACCAGGCCTCCTGGTGGATCAGAGACTGATCAACCAGGCTGTTGCTGTTGGCTGCACGCAAACCAACGTACGAGCTACAGCCTGGCTGATCAGGAACTGACTTTAGGTGCTTGTCCAGTGCCAGCTTGAAGACTGCCAGGGGTCTGTTGGTAATCCCCCTTATGTATGCTGGGAGGCAGTTGAACAGTCTCGGGCCCCTGACACTTATTGTATGGTCTCTTAACGTGCTAGTGACACCCCTGCTTTTCATTGGGGGGATGTTGCATCGTCTGCCAAGTCTTTTGCTTTCGTAGTGAGTGATTTTCGTGTGCAAGTTCGGTACTAGTCCCTCTAGGATTTTCCAGGTGTATATAATCATGTATCTCTCCCTCCTGCGTTCCAGGGAATACAGGTTTAGGAACCTCAAGCGCTCCCAGTAATTGAGGTGTTTTATCTCCGTTATGCGCGCCGTGAAGGTTCTCTGTACATTTTCTAGGTCAGCAATTTCACCTGCCTTGAAAGGTGCTGTTAGTGTGCAGCAATATTCCAGCCTAGATAGGACAAGTTAGCGTACTCAGTTCACACACTGAGGTCCTGGGACGTGTTTCCGTAAGACACCTCCTGTCCTTGTTCACCTACCAGTAAAATGGGTACCAGGGTGTTAATGGACTGGTGTGGGTCGCATCCTGGGACAAAACTGACCTAATTTGCGGGAAATGCTCAACATAACAAGCAGCTTTCTATATAGTAATATGTCACTGATGTCAGGTATAATCTGTATACTTGTATATGTACTTGCATAAATAAAGATTATTATTATTATTATTATTATTATTATTATTATTATTATTATTATTATGTCTGAATTTAGACAAAGGGTGATCGATAGCATGCCTAACCCTTCTAGGGTAGGGTAGGTGCCCGAGCCTTTAGCTCATAAGACTGTCATTCCCATTTGCCCCCTTGGGGGGGGATGGCAGACCAGAGAGGCCTAGCTTGTGGCTAGGCCTGTGGACAGTTGGTCCCAAAGATGAGGAGGTACTTGTGCCTCCTCCCATGGGAGACTTAGGTCTCAGACACTCCCTAAAGAGGGAGCCAAGGCCGGGCCACCACTTGGAAAAGGCCCGGGCCGGGAGAATACCGGCGAATATTTAAGAATAATAATAAATAGACAAATGGTTGACAGTTATAGACAATAATCGAAAAGTCAGGGTATTTTTTTCCAAAAATAGCAAGTAATATAACACTGTGGATAAATCAATAACATCATTTTATCGAATTATCTGTAAACCAAATTTTGTACATCTTACGTCTTTCGTCTTCGACAAAACAAAATACAAAATATAAATGACATAGTTAGCCATTCAAATCTTACGTTTTCTTTGATACACATTCATAGAAAACGCATTTATGGTAAACTATAATATTTTACAACATTTATATTGCACGAAGATAAGACATAATTCGGGTCCAATAAAGTTGTTTAATTTAGTAACCTACGTGTATATTATGCTAAGATTAACCAAATAAAACCAAATTCTGTGATTTATTTAAGCTGGGATCTTTCTGGTACATGAATAAGTCAGGTTAGATACCAATAGATGAGGTTAAGTGAGGTTAGATACCAACAGCTGTGGTTAAGTGAGGTTAGATACCAACAGCTGAGGTTAAGTGAGGTTAGATACCAACAGCTGTGGTTAAGTGAGGTTAGATATCAACAGCTGAGGTTAAGTGAGGTTAGATACCAACAGCTGAGGTTAAGTGAGGTTAGATACCAACAGCTGAGGTTAAGTGAGGTTTGTCAGGACGCCGGTCTTAGTTGTAATCATTCTACATGTACAAGGTATACAGACCATAGTTGACATCAGTGACATACTGCTATATAGAAAGTTGCTTGTTATGCTGAGCATTTCCCGCAAATTAGGTCAGTTTTGTCCCAGGATGTGACCCACACCAGTCCACTAACACCCAGGATGTGACCCACACCAGTCCACTAACACCCAGGATGTGACCCACACCAGTCCACTAACACCCAGGATGTGACCCACACCAGTCCACTAACACTCAGGATGCGACCCACACCAGTCCACTAACACTCAGGATGTGACCCACACCAGTCTACTAACACCCAGGATGCGACCCACACCAGTCACACTAACAAACACCAGGATGCGACCCACACCAGTCCACTAACACCCAGGATGTGACCCACACCAGTCCACTAACACCCAGGATGTGACCCACACCAGTTCACTAACACCCAGGATGCGACCCACACCAGTCCACTAACACCCAGGATGCGACCCACACCAGTCCACTAAC